GGGGGCGCGCGGGGCCGCCCGTCTGTGGGCGGCGGGAGGGGCGGCCGGGCGCGGGAGGGCTTCTCCGCCGTTTACCCCGGTTTTTTTATTTTTTTTCTACCGTCATTAGCAATTATTTCCTGTTTGTGCCAATAACTGAGGCTGCGGCTCGCCGCTGTGTATCTCGGTAGGCGCGTTTATCTACAGAGAAGCAATTAATGACGGTGTTTATGAAACAGCAGTCCTTTAGATGGAGAAAGACAAACCTTTGCAGCTAAAACAGCCTTTCTTACGCGCCTGGGTCATTTGTCTTATGAAGAGCACGAAATTCGGACACTCCTGGGTCATTTGCCTCACGAAGAGCACAAAAGCTTAAATTTACACCCATCACAGAGGGACAAACCCTCTGAGTGGAAGTGGAAGGGCGGGAGCTGGCGGCCTTGGCACAAGCTCCAGCAGCGAGAGCTTTACCAGAGCAACAACCCGCACCGCGGAGCGAAGCTGGGCCCAAGGCATGGCGGAGGGTGGATGAGCCCGGGGCAGGGTGAAAGCAGGCGGCCGGCCATCAGCGGGAGGAGGGAACGGTCAGGGGGGAGGAATGAGCGGAGGGAAAGGGATTGTCCTGAGAGGAAAGGAAGGGATGGCAAAGGAATGATGGAGAAGGCTGCAAAAGAGGAGGAGGAGGGCAAGAAGAGGATCATGTTGGCATCAACAAGCTTGCTGACGGTTGGTGCCCGAAGCATCGAGATCTCTGTTAGTTCAGAGAGAAAGCAGCCGCCGCTAATCCCTCAGAACATCCTACTGTAACAGAACAGTGGGGACGTTTTGTTCCAATCCCTCTAGTTTCAGCCCTCCTTCTACCATCCCGACGATAGAAATGAGTTTCTCATTAAGCGCTCGGTGTCTGGGATACAGCTGTGCTGCACACAGAAACAAGATTTAAAAGCCAGGGTACTACGAAAAATTAATAGTATAGCATTCACTTCAGCAAAGGCCAAATGTGTTAATCTGTTATATGTGCATTACTTACTACCCTCTGTAGACCACTTATTTTAAATTGTGGGTGGTTTTATGCATATCAGCTTTTATTGTCATAGCAGTTCAGAGGCTCTGGACGTGCAGCTTCCATTCATTGCAATGGGATTTGAAAAATCTCAACAGTGGCTTCTACTGTACACGCACATACACTGTGTCATTATTCTTACATTGCCAGGCAGCCTAAATGAATTTTAATGGCTTTGGTGTACCACAGGCTTTGTCATGCCTTTGAAATTCCTCATGTTTATGTTCCTGATGGGGGAGAAAAAGTCTGTTGAATTCTATTCAGTTGTTATTTTTTAGTATTATGATATTTTCATATGAGTATCTGAGTACCAACCAAGAGCGGGGCCCCGCAGGACAAAGAAGAGTTTCAGCTTGGAGAGCTTACCTCTACCAAGTCAGGACAGACCAGATGGCAGGGGCGAGAACTGTCCCCCGGAGTGGAGGTAACAGGATAGCGATCTACAAGCATTCTGTTAGTTCCAATTATTTTTTAATTTTTAAGTGGATATTCTCATTGGTCCTCAAGGGGAAACGAGTCTCTAACATGAGATAATTATCTCTGGATAAATCTGGGAAAGGAGACAGACAAAGACACCTGGACATAACAAACGTTTGATTAAATACAGCCTCTCATAACCCTTTTAAATTGATGTGATTTAAACAGACAGTGAAGAGCAGTCAGAAGTGACTGTTCCCATGGGGGAAGGGCAGAGAAGAGGTGATAAACCAGCCCAAAACAGCCATCGAAATGAACTGCTCCCCCGCTCCATTTTTCTCACATATTCCTTTTCTCCCCTGAGGTTGCATGCGCGTTGCAATACAACCAAGGTGATTTGGAGACAGACATTATTCTCTGTGGTGTGTTGTTAATGAGACATTCAGACACATCGCCTTCATTCAGAAAGATGCTGCTGTTTGTACGTATTTATTTAATTTTCCATCAGATGCTGGAAGGACAGATTCCAAACCATCTCAATGTCTGTATGCTGAGAAACCCTTCGACACCACAACTGGCAGATTTATTGTCCCTCTTCCTTTGGTTTTGGCCCTTACTGATGGGGCTGTGTCAGATTTAGGTCAAGCTCCTGCAGCTGTATCAGTTGATCTAATGGAAGGTTTTGTTTGTCTGTTAACCCTTATTCCCATAGAAGATCTTAACTGCTACTGCTACTAACTTTGTTTTAAACTCTCTGTATGTTGTGTACTCTGCCATGAGTCAGTGTAAAAATAGCAATCCTCAACCTTCAGGCCTTGTTTTACCTCAGTGACTCTCAAGTACTGAATTCACATTGTCGACGTTCACGTCAGCCCAGCCAAGAGGAATCTGCAGTTTTGTCATGACATTGCTTTGCTTTCGCTTGCAGTAAGATCCAAAGGAAGTATTCCTGCTGAAAGCAGCCTTTGGAAATCTTGAAAATTAATCTGAATACTCTGCAGGCAGAATAGGTCCTGGGAAAGAATTTAGGTTAGTAAAAGAAGTGGTTAAGACCTCCTTCTGAGCTGTAATATTAAAATAACTAGTTCTTATGAAGGGATATAAACTCTCTAGCTTGGGGTCATAGGTTTTGGGACTTAGAAGAAAACTTGCTAGGGAAAACTCTTGCTCCTATATCTACTGAGTATGTGTTTTATTCCCCCAAGACAGGACTCACCACTTCTTTGTCCCTGTTACAAAGTGCACATTACATATTTGATTTTAATTCCATCCAAGATTCATTATCCTCTGAATCTATATATCAGTGTACCAGCTTTGGATAAACAATATTACAAGACACCTGTGAGGTGCATGTTGCTGACACTCAAGGTCAGGTTCTCGCTGTTTCAGACTATACAGCACTTGTCTTCAAACTCCCAGCAGCAAGGCAAAGGTCTGTATCACACGTTCGATGTGTAGTTTGCATTGTGCTGAGACCTCCTAAGGCTAACACATGCAATGCAAGAAACGTCTTGACCAGTACTTAGTACCAGAACTAAGTAGTCACCACAGATTTACCCATCTCTTCTTTCTGTGGAACTTACTCTTCATTCACGACAGCTAAATTCTTGTTGTAACTCTTTGAACGACTGGGATAAACTGCTCACAGAGAATTTGTATTGGCTTCCAGAACTATCGGGTTGTGTAGATCTTTTAAGACTACATTCATTATAGATTTGAATATTGCTACTGTAAACAAGCACCTGCCTTGTCTTATTCATTTAGCTTCAGAGGATTTGTCTTTCATATCTCCCAAGACATGGAATTATTCAGAACAAATCTTGGTTTACATACTATTTATAAAATATTTTTCAAGTGAGGTAATCTCATCCTCCTCTCCCAGATGTGTTCAGATTAAGACAGTGAACTTTCTCCGTTCTATGCAGCACGTGTGACTCACTCCTCGGAGTGTGGTATGTATTTGTGTTTACACTGCCATGGAAACTGTATTTGTTCTCTGTACAGTAAAGCATATTACAGTGAAAAGGCCATTGATATTAGCCTAGACAGCAACTTCATATTCACCACCAAAAATTGACTCCAAGCACCCTGCACATTCATTTTCCCTTTGAAAAAAAAAGCTGGATGGCAAGTTACCAGCAAGTAGCAAGTCTCTGGGGCAGCAAAATTTTCTTTGTTGCTTTAGTAATTGGCAAAGTCTGGGATTTTTTCCAGCAAGTCTGGTGCGTGGGGTTGTTATAAATGATGATGATGATGATGATGATGATGATGATGGGGGTGGGGGGTGTCTTACAGTGCCCTCATTTCAATGCCCTTCTGCTGAATGGATTTTGTTCCTTGTCAGGCATGTCCATCAAATGGATCCAGAAGAACTCCACAAATTTCAGATGAAATCTAAAGTATACGGGGGGGGGGGGGGGTCACTGCAGACGGATGTGCAGATGCAGCTACAGATAAAAAGAAACCAGACATCAGGATATCAGTTCAGAATAGCTATTTCAAGTATACCAATAAGAAGTGCCAGTAGTTTGCTTCTTTTTCCTCCAGATAAATAAGTATCAGCCCATTTTAATCTTAGACACGCTTTTATACCAAGGTTTGCTAAATTATTTTTCAGCTAGTATGAACAGGATCTAGGTCACCAAAATGCAGCCAGCTGAGATGTAATCCAATAGTTCTTTAACACAAGACAGCACAGTGAATGCACAAGGATTTCTGTACCCTGGTACTTACTCCTGGCACTGCAGTGCAAGCAGAGGAATGTCAGGAGCTGGAATCTGGCTGGAGCAGAGTTAGAAGTTTTACTTTTCAGATGGGGGCATGGTGCGGTAGGGGCATGTCAGGAACTTTAAAGACCAGGAGTACAGAGACTGCAGACAATAAATTAGGCTTAATGGAAGAAATGGTCAAATTTTCAGGGGTAATTTATCTCTTTATGCACAAACATAAAACCAGAATTAAAGTTTTGACAGTATATTCTTACCTACTTTGGCTGGATGTTTATGGCCCAGTGGATTTAAACAAAGATGGATGCAATTCAGGTCATGCCGCAGCTTAAGTGGGAAGAAATTCTGAAAGGTTTGCCTTCAGTATGCAAGAAAGTAAAAATGAAAGAAAATTCAGTGATAACCACGCTTGTTAGTTCAGCAAAGAACAGTCACGTGAAAGCCCTGAGAAACCAGATCAATGAACTGAAAGACAACAAATGAGATGAGCCTTCAGCTGTGAAGGGATGGATGTTTCTCAAATGGGAAGGAGTGAGGCAGTTCATGTAAGTGGAATACACCACTCTGAAGGCATATTCTATTTTTTGCCCAAGGATCTCAGTTTTTCATTTTATCCTGAAATAAGCCATGTAGCTTTCTGCTTGAGGGTGTTTTATTCTCAGCTCTGTGTTTTCTCGTAGACCTGATTTTCCACTGCACTGCACCATGTGCTCATGGTTTGCACCACGACAGAGTAGAAGGAGTGCAGGGCCTGGCATGAAGTGTCGATGCTGCTTTGAACCAGTTGTCTACATGGAAGAGAAAAATGTTGCTTAGTAGGGAAATCCTGCTGAGAAAATATTTCAGATTTTTCTCTTCTCTTGCAAGTTCCCAGGAGTTTGGAGTACATGAATATTCTGGTCTTTTCTTTATTCTGTGTTCATGAACTCCTTTATCAGCCTCACGGGACAGAAGCAGCCCCGGAGGCTGAAAAACAGATCAAAAAAATGACCTTAAACGGAAGCCAAACAGAGGCTAAAAACTCTTCGCTGTTCATCTGCCTGCAGATCACACAGTTCAGTGTCTTACAAGTGTTACAGGAGCTTTCTGGCACACAGCATCTGCCAATTGCCATGTACCTGTGCAGTTGGCCTCCCGAATGCTAGACGTGCTGGAAAATACAACATTGTTTAACTTAGATTTGATGCTTCAAATAACCATGTGTATCTTTTGTATCTCTTTTGTATTGGAATAGTCAAAGTGCAGTGAAAAGCATCAGTTAAAATAAATTCAGGAATGATATGATTTTAAAAAAAAAAAAAGGTATTGTAAAGAAAACGTTGGGGAGACCATCCTGTGCCTGGGATAATCCCTGGTCTGATTTCATGCATTTTTTCAAGATGCCAAAGCCATATTGCTCATCAGCAGTCTACTTTGTCTAGACATGGTAACCCTGGGAGAAAAGTCATTCCCTCCTGATGCCTGCTTTTAGTCTATTTGCTACCAAATGTAAAAGAATACCTAAAAATACTCTTGTTCAAAGCTGGCTTGGATAAATTAAGCTCACA